AAAATTTGGCTTTCTTTGTGTCTTATAGGCTGTGTTAGGTTCGCAAGGCATTGTGGTAAAATGTACAGCAGCCATCTTTTTTCCTACGGTGGATTGGATACCTACGTGATTTGCACGTCAATTACGTGCACCTTAATGGCTTCCTTCGCAATGTTTCCTACAGTTTTCAAACTCATGAAACCCGCTGTAGATGTTTTTACTCAAAAGTAGTTCTCAAAAGACATTTTTAATACCAAAATTTGTTATACATACGATTAATTAGTAATTGGACCTCATCTCATACATTCAGGGAGTAATTGTACACAATCGTTATTTCAAATCAGCCTCGTGTTTCGCGCTCTTCCAATTTTGAAGTTACTCGCGCAATTACTCCCTGAATTGTACTCCACTCAGTCCAATTACTATTACTAATTTTTTAACCTAANTTCGCGCTCTTCCAATTTTGAAGTTACTCGCGCAATTACTCCCTGAATTGTACTCCACTCAGTCCAATTACTATTACTAATTTTTTAACCTAAGGTGGATAATTTGTACACCAAAATTATACAATAAAAAATATACTTCACCAATCTCGTTTAAGAGAAAATGAGCCTTTATTTCGCAGTTGAGCTAATGACACGGAAATCGTGCACAGTAGGGATGCGCAATGCATTACTGAGGAATCACCTTAACAACTTGAACAGATTTACCCTACTAGCTATGTAAGTAGTACAACATTTAACTTTTCACAGTCATCTATATATGCATCATTATTCCAGACTTAAGTTTCTGGTTCTAGGCACGCTGTTTTACAGGCAGTAAATTTTACAGGTTACCCTCTAAAAAGGAGAACTTAAAGTAACATAAGTTCTACTCTAGTCTACATTTGATTCTCAATCAGTAAAATGCTCCTTCATTACCTTCAGAATATTTTTCACGTTGATTAATAAAGACAAGCACTAAGTTGACTTTCTAGAAATTAAACTCACTTGTAATTATTCCTCCAGTCACAGGATAAAGAAATCCAACGAAGATTATGAGAAGAGGGAAAAACATGCCACGTGAATGCTGCCGTAAAGCAAAGAAAGCAACACCAGCTGAAACACAGTGAATAAACACTGAGGTTGCCAAACACCAAAGAAAGATCTGATACCACATTTCTGCAAATAAAAACAAAACTAGCTTCACTGATTGATTCCCAATAATGGCCATGGCCATGTGCAATTATCTTGGTAAAAAAAAATGTTTTCTGCATGTTACACCATACAGTTCAGGAAAACCTCAGTGTTGATATAGGGTGGAGGGCAATCTCTCAAAAACTTTAAGACCCAGTAATGAACATTGTGCTTTTCGCCGGTCTGTTTTTTTGGGGGTTTACATGTACATGATAGCAAGGTTTATTGTTTAACAATGCTGAACAGCATGCAATGCATCATGGCCAAAACTGGGTCTTTAATGGGTGATGTTACTTTTGTCCAAATTAATAATAAATTACAATCAACATACTACAGTAACTAACTACTTTTGTCATCATTGGTGCTTGGCATCTAAGACAACTTCTGTTCGAAGTATTCCAAGTATTGAAATGTGATGCTCTTGTATTCAAAACTGGAGTTAAATGGTTTCAAAATCAAAAAATGTAGGCTCGATTGCCAGCCACTGTTGGAGATGAACCCTGTGCTCCTCCCCCGAACTCATGACTGGACTTATGTGGATTTGACAGTGTTAATATTTTGACCAATCAGAAATCTGCCTGAATTGAGCAGGCTATATAAATTATCTTTTTTGCAGTAGAAAAGAAGTTGTGTGATGTAAAGTGCGATCTTGTTAGCAGGACATCAACTGATGAGATATTGCCTGATTTAAACCATAGTAGCACATATAACATGCAAAATAGGCAACAGACTTCAATCTTGTGGTGCCAAACAAAGCCAACAAAGACAGGGATAAACCTAAACATTGAATTCAAGAGACAAAACACTCAGTCAAATTGATGTCACCGAACTTTAGTGACACCAGTCTCAGTGGCAAAGCCAGACAAAATTAGATTTTTCAATGAGAGCTAATGAGCCAAAGCAAACCAAACTAGCAAAAACATATATATGTATTTTCATTAAAATATAAAACTCTAAGGTAAAAAGCTGTTAAAATTGAGTCTTAACATTTTCGATCTGTTTGATCATCATCAGAGTGAAATAATATGCATACGCCCAGTGTTCTTATAGTTCAGGTAATGCCAGTTATGTAATACCTGTTCCCATGGGGAACAAGGT